AGCATCCTGACCACCTCTTGCCGTAGGCCTATGCAGTCTTCGGTTTTGTGTCCCCGTTCCTGATGGAACTCACATAGGGCGTTCGATTTCCTTGTGGCAGGGTCTGATTTCATCTTCTGCGGCCACTGCACCTTGGTGCCCAGCTTCTCTAGTTCGTACACTATTTCTGATGGAGATACACAAAAGTTATGGGCGGTTAATAAAGGGGGCGTACCTCTTTCGTTTCGGAGTGGGGCTACGTGTCGCTGTAGCGCGTCTGTATGCCTTGGTGGCGGATGGGAGGATCTGGTGTATGGCTGATGTCGATCTCTGTTGGAGCGGGGGAGTTGTTCTCGTCGTCCTTCGTTCCGTCAATCTCTCCTCGTTTCTGAGTGTATCGCTGTTAGCCGTTGGGTCGGCCCATTAAGATCATCCTCGTCCGCTCGTACCTCGGCGCAATAGGCGTTGTGGATTTCCTCCCATATGGTAGGGGGATATTTCATGAGGCGGCTCAGCAGCTTCTTGGTTGCCCTCGAACCATCCCTGCTTAGCCCGTTCTGGAAAGCGGCAACTGCCATACCTTCCGATACGTTTGGTAGACTCATCCTTACCCTGTTAAACCTTGCCAGGAAGTCCCTGAGTCCCTCTCCTATGGTTTGCCTGACGGCGAAGATGTCGTTGACCTTGGCCTCCGCTTTCTTCGTGCCTGCATGGGCTGTGACGAATTTATCCGCCATTTCCTCGAACGTTGATATTGCCTTAGCCGGTAGCTGAGAGTACCATGTTAAGGCCCCTCCTATCAACGTCTCGCCAAACTTCTTCAGCAGTACCGACGGTACCTGTTCTTTCGATAGGTCGTTGCCCTTCACAGCGGTGACGTAGTGGATCAGATGATCTTCGGGATCTGTGGTTCCGTCATATACCCTCATGTAGGGTGGCATCTTGAAGGTTTTTGGGGTGGAGTGAGGGGCAGCTTCTTCAGTGTAAGGTTGTTCAACGAACCTTCCCACGTCGCGTTTTGGTAGCAACTTGGGAGCACCGGGGATCTTGTCGACCCTCTCCTGATGTTCCTTCATCTGACCGCGGAGCGCCTTGTTTTCATTTTCCATTTCTTCCATCTTCTTTAGGATGGCTGTTAGCGTGCCGTCGTTGGTCTGTGTCTCGATGGGTTTGTTATTCGCTAGTGCAACTTCCGGTTCACCCACGGCAGCAGTGGTACCTACCGTTGGTGTACACCCGATGTTACTTTGTGGTGACCTCTCAACCAAGCCACTTAGAGTGCTTGTTAGCCATCTTTCCAGTAGCTCCTTGACCGCTGAGGGTGCTTCCGTAGCCGCAGATGTGGAAGCTCCTTTTTCGTGCAAGATCGTCAGACCTTCAGATGGGGAAGGTGAGATCTCTGCACCCGGTGTGATGCTAGGGGTTGCATTCAGGATCTCATCGTCACTGGCCTCGTTGAGAGGGCCAAGGAGATTGGTAGTGACACCCAATATAGCTTTCGATCTTGTGTTATTTTCGGCCATCTTCTGTTTTTGTGTGGTGTGGAGAGTGGTAGTTGGTTGATCTCTAGGTGGATACTATGGTTTTGATTCTCGAAATCCCCACAGACGGCGCCAAATTGTTTGGCTCAAAAGTTAACAATATACTTTGTAAGCTAGAAAACAATCAAAAGTAAGAAAAGGGTAAATCGTAATCAAATATAATAAACCTAGAGACGCAAAGATGATATTATTGTTGTAGATCTAGTATTGCAAAGTGATAATATGAACTCAATAAGATATGTTCGTTTGAGGTAGAGATAGAGAGAGAAAGCCAGAAAATGAGAGAGTTGTATTAGATCAGAATCCCCCCTTTACAATGTGAAGGTCTCCTTTATATAATAAGAGACCTTCCTCGAAAGAATCAAAAAGTTACAAAGACAGGTAACGTCTCCCTAGTGAAGACACTGAGTCCTAAAAGATATCGCTTTTGTCCCCACGTCCGAGTCGTACCCCGCTACATTAGTCGGCGTACACTCACTGGGCGTACCCACTGGCATAGAAATGCTGAGGGTCAAATTTGACCCTATACAATGAACTCAGGTAGATCAAGAATCGTAGCCTCTTCTCTCTTTGTAATAAAAGAGACAACACGACCATCATTTCTGAGCCAATGCACGGAATCATTCACATAAACAGGGGTACAACTGAGAAAATTACTGAAAGTATTTCTGATCAAGTCCATTCTCAATTTGAATTTACGCCACATACCATCAGATCCCTCGGATGAAAATACTTGAAACTTATACCCTCTTTCTTTCCCATCCAGCAGCCCTATGGTTACCAATTTATATTGATCAGAAATAGGGTAATCAACCGCCAAGCATGCATTACCAATTCTTGTACGATAATCTTTTGTAGGCTTTGGATATGGTATCAATTGATGCGCCCCAGTTAGAGGATTGGAAACACAGAAACCCACAACTTCACCAAAGTCAAGGAGAAGCAGACCCTTGCTTGAGGCCACAACTTCAACGTTAACGGGTAACGTCGTCTTATACTCAGTGGTTACGATAGGGTTGATGAAGATTTTGTGGAAGTGCTGGGATGAACGATCTGATGAAGAATAGAGGAGTAGTGTAGAGATCTTTTGATGTTGGAGCAAAATACAATAAGTATTAATTCCTTTGCTTCTCTGTAGTGAATACCTCAATAGCCGTTTCTCCTGCACTTTGATCCCTTTCTTTTTTATTTCGAATATATAAGGAAGGAGGACATCTACTATTTAAGCTAAATTTTTTATTTATTTTTGGAATTTTTACCTCTTATAGCAAAGGTTGATACCTTATTTATTTTAAATAAATACCATTTTAAAAAATTATATTCCATAGCTATCTTTTGATTTTATAGCCAAATATCTATTTATGGTCACCTCCTACCCTTAAGCCATAAAATACGCTTTGGTTTATTTTTCTCTCTTATTCTTTCAGATTTTTCTCCACCCTTTCTTTCTCAACCAACGCCACAAATCACAGTACCTCCGCCTTTCTTCTGACGCAAAACCTCCGCCTTTCTGAAACTCACGAATATCCACCATTATCTTCCCTTGAAAGCTCCTAACTGATACTCTCCAATTCTTAGAAATCTGAAACCAACGCAACAATCAGAAAAACAGTAGAAAAGTGAGATATAAAATGCTTGGGGAATTGAAAAGAGAGACCTCACAAACGACGATGCCATCAGCATCAACATAATCATCAGTTCTGGAACAAAGACGATGATTTTGGATTCTTGTATGTAATTTTGGAATTTTGGATTCTTGAAACCAACGCAAAAATCATAGAAAGAATTTTTGAAATCGGAGGTTCAATGATTTTGGATCTTGGTATATAATTTTGGAATTTTTACCTCGTGTCGGTTATTCTTGAACAAAGACGACGGAGTTTGGGGCTGAGCAACTTGAAGAGTCTGTTACCTTTTTTGCATTGTATTTCAATGTATCTCCTCGTATTCTATGTATTTCATTGTCTTTTTTTCCATTGTATTACAATGTATCCCGTTGTATTCTATGTATTCCATTGTATTCACTGTCTCACTATATTCCATGAATGTATTCATATGTCTTTTTTAATTAATATAATTTATGTATTCAGATGTATTATATAATTTCTCTGAAAATTGCTATATTTTTGGGATATTTTTTGGTTGAGAATCTTTTTTATAACTGGAAATACAAAATTTGTGTGTTATAATTGAGTTTGTTGAGTTATATTAGGAGCCTATTATGTTAATTATTTCACTTTCCGTTAAAAAACAGTTGTAATCCCCTGTCTCACGCCGTAAATACAATCGAATACAATAATTTGGTCAGCTGTAATTCCATATTTCACTCCGTAAATACAGTCGAATACACTCGAATATAAAAATCTGTCTAGCTGTTAGGGGTGTACATGGACCGGGTTGGTTCGGTTTTTATTAAAACCAAACCAAACCAACTATATCGGGTTGGATTGGTTCGGTTTTGTCGGGGTTTTCGGGTTTTTCGGATTTTTTTGTTATGTGAATATTATTTCAATCTTACTTTGTTAAACTTTTTATAAGTAAATATATGTTTAGTAAAAATTGAAAAACTTGACAAACATATGATCTATTTAAATATTTTTATGGTAGTATTTTGTTAATAACACATGATAGTTATTTTTTTAGTCCTCTGACAATAATTTCTCGTTGATGTATACTTATAAAGTTAAACGAATTTAATAATTAAACATAAAAATCAACATGATACCTAATTAATGATAAATTCTATTTAATTTTAGATTATCAAAATACCACTTCAAATTTGAAAAACATATAAGAATTTAATAAATCTTGATATATGAACAAGGAAGAACAAAGAAATTGACGCATTTCAGATGGAGTACTTGATAAGAAAGTGATCATATAACCCATTATTTAAGGTTAGTAAAAATGAAGTACTTCATATTCTATTAAATATTACATTCCATAAGAGAATCCCAAATATTTCTAGAATTTTTGTAAAGAAAATTCTATATAAAGTTTTAAAAGTATATATAAAAATTATATATATTTATATGTCGGTTTGGTTCGGGTTTTTTTACTCAATACCAAACCAAATCAAACCAAACCTAGTCGGGTTTTTTAATCGGTTTGGTTTGACTTTTCGGTTTGGTGCGGTTTTCCGGTTCGGTTTGTACACCCCTACTAGCTGTAATCCACTGTTTCACGCCTAGAATTAAATACATCGAATACACTCTAAAAAATTTGAAAACATAGTTATAGGAAGTAATATAGTAAATGGCAGCTACAACTAGCTAATAACCACTAAACAATAGTGGTTTGTGAAAATTTCTCTTTATTTTTTACTCGTATTTGCATTGAGACCCCGACTAATCTGGATTCGTACCGCATAAAGCCTAATAAAAGAGAGAATGTATTTTAAGAGGAATTTTTATCCACAGGGCTCGAACCCAATATATCTAACTAAGGTAAGTTGGATCATATACATCTCACAACAATCTTTAGAGGTAGGGTCTAAATATATTGGGTATTTTAAAAAAAAAAAGTAAAATATTTTATAAAAGGTAAAGATAACTTTTATTTTAGTATTGATGTAACCGTTTGATAAAAAATTGTAGAAAGAGAATCACTCCGCCTAAACCCTTGTCGTGAATATAAAACTTTTTATTATTTAAATTTTACGATTGACAAATATTATTATTCTCCTTTTACATTTCTCACTAAAAACGTGTAATAAACTTTTAGAATCCATTTTTTGGTATCTTCAATAGTCCACGTCTTATTTTTATCATTCTCATCAGAAAACGGGTACTACATTCTTATATTCCGTTTCTTGGTTTCCGTAAAAAAACTTAAGTTTTTGATATGTTATATTGTTCTCTGTAGAAAGAAAAGAGTTTTATTTTTTCTATAAAAAACAAGAGTTGAAGAGTATTGTTCAATAAAACTATATTGCACATTCTTTTTTTTTTGTCCTTTTTTCCTCATGTTTCAAGCGTTTCAACAAGTATATTAGAACATCAAAAATTATTTCGATATCAAGTTATTAAATTCTTGAATCTGGTTCTATTATCTAAGATCAACAATCTTAGGAGAACTTAAATTATTTATAAAAAAAAATTATTAACAACTTTACATCTTAAAAAGCTAGAAAAATAGAATTTAATTAAAATAAATAGATGATTTTTTTCTTCTTCTGAAAGGCCCCTGATTAAAAAATGGCTTTAGCCCCCAATTTTCTTAAGCCGCCCATGATGACAACAACGTACTTAAGGGGGGCAAAAATAAAAATAAAAAAATATTTAAGCAAGAGTAGATCACAAGAAGTTCTAAAACCTTAAGGGTAGATATAGAAATATCATTGAATGAGAAAAAATATTTTATACAAATATATCTCTGCTCTTCTTCTATATCTTGCAACAAATGCAATCTTTACCATTGGATTATGATATGTACTCCCTCGAATTCATAATAAGTGACTTTTTGGATTCTGACACATTCCTTAATAAAATACTAACTCCTAGAAGATAATAAGTTGACTAAATTAACTTAAAATAAAATTTAAATATTGTTAAGTGGACACATTGAGATATGTAAATAAGGGCAAATTTGAGAAACTAATATTAATTCATTCTTGATTATTTAAAAAAGGTCACTTATTTTGAACCAAAGTAAAAATGTCAAAAGGTCACTTATTATGGACCAGAGGAATACTATTTTAGCTTATATCTTCAATAGGTTCTGGTCTAGTGGTTAATAAATAGGTTCAAGTGAAAATGAGATAGTTTAAGTTCACCTAATGCGTGTTTGTATTCAATTATACTTTAAATAGATTCAAGTGAAAATGAGATAGTTTAAGTTCACCTAATGCGTGTTTGTATTCAATTATACTTTAATATCGATCTCTCTTATTCTATATGAATATTTTATATATATATATATATATATATATATATATATATATATATATATATATATATATATATATATATATATATATTTCAAAGAAAATTGAATAAGTTTGTGAAAAATACGTATCTCAATCAAACCCAAATAGTTCTTATTCTTCTATATTCTTAAATTGATGTTCTTTTAATTCTTTATGTTTGTTCCTTGCATTTTATCATTGTATTATTCATTACTTAGTATTTTTTTAATTAATATATAGATACGTTATAATTTTCTTCCCGCCCACACTCAAAGTTTTGGTATAAATAGTAACTAAATCAAAGAAAAGTCCCCTTTTAGTATTCTCTCTGTTCTATTTCTCGCCATCTGAATTACAAGCCCAGTTCTCTCCAAGAAATTCAAAAATGGCGGATGAAAAAAGTGACGCACCTGATGCTGTACACACCAATAACATTCTAGGGAATCTCACTGCTAATGAGTATGTAATTTTCTTTACATTTTGTTCATTATGAAGCAAATTTATTTCAATTTTCTTTAATTTTTTTTAATTTATGAGTAAAAAGAAATATGGTTTATGGTTCCACAGGATTGTCGCTAAGAAAGAAGCTGAGACCGAAAAAACGGTAGTCAACGAGAAGAGCACTCAAGATCATAACAAAAGAGTATGTAACTTTCTTCTGAAAAAATTAATCATCAAGAAACAAACTTTATTTCAAATTTCTTTCAGTTTTCTTTAACTCATGAGTAAAAGAGAGATATTTTATGGTTCCACAGGACTGTCTATGAGAAAGAAGCCGATGTCGGAAAAGCGGTAATCGAAGAGAATAACACTCAAGATCATAACAATGAGTATGCAACTTTCTTTTGAAAAAAACCAAATAATCAAGAAACAAAATTTTTTTTCCAATTTTCTTTAATATTTGAGCCTAAAAAGAGGTTTATGGTTCCACAGATTGTCGCTGATAAAGAATCCCACGCTGGAAAATCTGAAGTCGAAGAGAAGAGCAATCAAAACCCTAAGAACTTTCATAGGGATCCCTCTGCTAAGAAAGAAGCTGACCAAGAAAGTGACAACCCCTACTATGCTTTTATTGATGTAAATAATTTTATTGATGATAAGGTGCCAGAAATAGAGATTTATGTCAATTTGATTCTTTTTCTTTTCATTTTTAATGGTTGCTGGTTTCTTAAGTAGCCATATTTTGAAATTGCGGTTCCAATAATAATGTCGAAATAGTGCTTCGTAAGAACTTAATGCATTCGGATCTCAAACGTACGGAGGGCTGATGTCGGCGGCGGCAATGGAACATTAAAAAGAAAAGGAAAAGGAAAACTAAGAAATAAAATTAGGGTAAAATTAAAAGGGGTTTTCAATTGATACCTTCTGATACTCAATTATGCTTACATATAGACTCCACTATGCACTACCAAATAAAAACTTGTAACTACTTCTGACAGGGACTAAAAGTGTCGAAATAAGATAAATCTATAGACCTAATTACAATTTGTCAAACTTACTTTAAGAAACCTAGAGGGACTAAACTTCTCACTTAATAACTTCAACTCTATCCGTTAATAACCAACTCCTAACGGCTAGGTACACCCATTTAAGCTTCATGTACATGCTCCTCAAGCTGAAGCCATTTTCATTTGCATCAGTTCCCCGTCGTTGAGAGCTTCCTTGTCCTCAAGGAAGGAAAAGAGGGAGACGAGCCTTCAAAGCTGAATAATCCTCCCATGTAGCTTGATCAGGTGGCAGTTGGTCCCATTGCACTAGAGCCTGAGCCACAACCTTGTTTCCCTTTTGAATCATACGCCTCTCTAGGATATTGTATGGCATAGAACAGTAAGGGATTGACAACTCAACTATAGGCAGATGAGAAGTTGTTTCTGGCAGCTCATGGCATTTCTTAGGTTGGGACAGATGAAAGGTTGGGTGCAACAATAGCTGAGGAGGAAGGGAGAGTTTGTAGGCAACATTCCCAATCTTCTGTAGCATCTGATATGGCCCATAATACCTAGCTGAGAGCTTAGAGAATTTCCATCCTGACATGGTGATTTGCCTGTATGGTTGAATCTTAACATACACCCAATCACCCTCTTTGAATTGACTGTCCGACATATGTTTGTTTGCTTGGTTCTCCATCCTCTGTTGAGCCCTCTTAAGATGATACTTAAGAAGGTGTACCTTGAACTCCCTCGTGAGCAAGCTTATATCTACTTCCTTCATACTTGATTCTCCAGCAGCATAAGGAAAGTGCAAGGGAGGAGGTTGACCATATAGGCTTCATATGGTGTACACTAAATGGAAGAATGAAAGGTGATATTGTACCACCACTCAACTGCTCCTAAGTAGTGCATCCAGTCCTTTTGAGAGTCTGAACAAAAACATCTTAAGTAAGTCTCCACACACATATTAACTACCTCTGTTTGACCATCTGTTTGAGGGTGGTAGGCTGTGGAAGTATTGAGACTTACTCCTAACATGGCAAACAATTCTTGCCAAAGCTTGCTTGTAAAAATAGGATCTCTATCACTTATGATATCCTCTGGAAGCCCATGCAACTTATAAATCTGCTCCATGAAAATCATGGCCAATTCATTGGCAGAATAAGGATGAAATAGGCCTATAAAATGAGCATACTTTGTGAGCCTATCCACTACCACCCAAATAATTGATTTCCTTTGAGACTTTGGTAGTCCTTCTATGAAATCCATACTTATGCTACTCAGGCTGCAGCAAGTATTCTAAGAGGTTGTAGCAATCCTGGGTAAGGGGCATTATCATACTTATGCCTCTGACAAGTATCACAATTCTTCACAAGGTCTTGAATTTCCTCCTTCATTCCCTTCCAATAGAATAAAGAGGATACCCTCCTATAAGTATTGTCCATCCCTGAATGCCCACCAATAGTGGAATTATGCCATAGCTGTAAGATCCTCTTCCTTAGTTGTGGATCAGGGCCTACCACCAATTTACCATTCTTTCTTAATTACTAATGTATGAAGGTGTATCCCTTATCATTGGAGCCCTTATTCTTGAGGATCTGGATTGTTGCCTTTAATTCAGCATCTAACTCCCAACTTTTCATAATTGCTTCCAATAGGTCAGTCTTCACAGTTGATAGTGTCATGGATGACAACTCTATTAGTGGAAGTCTAGAGAGTGCATCTGCAGCCTTATTTTCTTTACCCTTTTTGTATTCAATCTCAAAGTCATATTGCATCAATTTGGTTATCCACTTTAGCTGGTTGCCTGTGTGTAATTTCTGTTCTAGCAAGAACTTAAGGGCCTTTTGGTCTGTTTTAAGAATGAAAGTTTTCACTGTCAAGTACTGAGACCATTTGTTTACTCCCATGACCAATGCTAACAGCTCTTTATCATAGGCTGATAGTGACTGGTGCTGAGTGGACAACCCTTTATTGAGGTAGGCAATTGGTTGGCCTTGTTGCATCAACACAACTCCAATGCCTACATTGCAGGCATTAGTTTCAACCACAAAGGTCAAAGAGAAGTTGGGCAGGGCTAGTACATGTGTTGTAGTTAGAGCTAACTTCAGCCTGTCAAAGGCTTCCTCAGCCTTCTTAGTCCAACAAAAGCTATCTTTTTTTAGAAGATTAGTAAGAGGTTTACTAATGATGCCATACCCTTGTATAAACCTCCTGTAATACCCAGCTAATCCCAGAAATCCCCTAAGTTGGGTAATTGTTTTGGGTTCAGGCCAAGTCTTTACAGCCTCCACATTTTTAGGATCAGTTGACACTCCTTGTGAGGATATGTAGTGCCCCAAATACTCCACTCTTTCTGCCCCAAACACACATTTGCTCTTCTTTGCTAATAATGGATGTTGCACCAGCAGATCAAAGGCAATCTTAAGGTGTTGTACATGTTCCTCCAAGCTCTTGCTGTAGATTAAAATATCATCAAAGAACACAAGAATGAACTTCCTCAAATATGCTTGAAAGATGTGATTCATTAGCCCTTGAAAGCTTGAAGGAGTATTGGTCAGCCCAAAAGGCATAACCAAGTAGTCATAATGCCCAGAATGTGTTCTGAAGGCAGTTTTGGACGCATCTTCAGGTGCCATTCTGATTTGATGGTATCCTGCCCTGGGGTATATTCTAGAGTATATCTAAGAACTACCTAATTCATCCAACAGCTCCTCAATAATAAGGATAGGAAATTTGTCCTTTACAGTCATTTTGTTCAAGGCTCTATTGTCACACCCCTTTTCTACTCCCCGAAAAATATGTATGTGTATGGATATTATGGTGGGTTAAAGAGTTTTTCCAATTGAAGTGACAAATTTGAGTAGGGATTATTTTATTTATAGAGTCGCCACTTGGAATTGGTTTTCGGTGTTCCAAGTCACCTTTTATTTGAATCCCTAGTCAAAGAAAAGTTTGACTCTATTTTTATCGGTCTGCGAAAACAAAGTTCGGGTAAGGAATTTTGTTGACCGGGGAGAAGGTATTAGGCATTCCCCGAGTCCCGTGGTTCTAGCACGGTCGCTTTATTGACTTAAAACTTGGCTTGAGCTAATTTTGGACAAACTGTGATTTATATGTATTTTTATGTTTTACCTATCCGCTTTTAATTATTAAAGTTGTTAAAAAAAAGTATGATATAAATAGTATAAAATTGTCCTAACCGCGCTACGAAAGCGAATATGCGACCAAAACGAATTTTATTAATTTTGTCGTAACACCGCTACGCAAGCGAATCCGCAGTTATGACAAAGGATTATTAGCACGTTATTATTTTCAAAAAAAATTACTGTATTTGTGCTTTTGAGAAAATTATTTATTAAAAGGTTACTATCGCTATTAAAAAGTTACTATCGCGCTACGCGAGCGAATCCGCGAGTACGGTGAAAGGATTAATAATTAAACTAAAACTAAAGATATAGTAAGAGATTAGTGAATTAAATTATTGAATGTTAAATATCACGCCACGCAAGCGAATCCGTGAATGAAAAGATTTAAGCGTGCCTACTGATTGCCTAGCAATTCAACTAATAAAAAAGAAAATGTGTTAATTAATTAATAACAGAAATCTGATTTCTATTATTATCTTCTAGCCTTATGGTTGGAAAAATTGTGCAAATAAATGTTGGACCAACTCAATCTTTTTTAAAGAAATATGCCAACTTCTTGTTAAAAGGAGAAATGGGCCAGCTTATGGATTTTAGAAGATGGGCCAGCTATTTATTTATTGAGAAAGTGGGCCAATTTGCTTATTTAGTTATGGTATTGAGCCAACATCTATAAAATAAATGGACAAAATATTTATAGACTTCTTAAAGGCATTGGGCCTATTGGACAGAATATGCCTTGGCCCATTATTGAGCTCCGAAAATGGGCATAAGCTGAAAGCCCAATGAATTTCAAATGCTGGTTTACTAAGATAGCCCACCTGGGCTAAATTGCGAGTCTGGCCTCTTTTGTTCTAAGCCATTAACCCTTATTTTTAACTAGCAATTTCAAACACCTATTTAAGATCTAGCCACTTTCTACCAAAAAAAAAATCTAAAATCCTAGCAGAGATGGTCACATGTAAAATCTGAATTTTATCACAATAAATAAAGGTTTCAAGCATGGCTCTTTTGTTATTTTTCTTTAAAGAATAGCCTATCATAAACTGGCCAGAATTGCAAAGGTGCAAAAGGAGTCTTTAAGCACATTGCAACCTACTTGAAACATCTCATTTTATATGCATCAAAACTATAATAGATAGTAAAGACAAATAACACATGAATAAAGAGTGTTTGATCAACCAAGGATTTATTTTTTACATATGAACTACAACAAGATATATTTAAACAATAAAGAAATTTAGCTAAGCACTCATTTATTTAAATGGATATGCTCCCAACAATCAAGATGAGTTCCAATCTTCTTGTTAATGTGAAAATATCTGCAACATAAGATTAAAGAGTTACCTGAGTCGCAGAATAATAAATACAACAACGAAGAATGGAAGCTCAGCAACTAAAGCAGCATAAAAACAGCAGCAAAACAGCAGAAAACCAGCAGCAAATCCATGTTAAAACAGCCCGAAAACTTCGAGAAGAAACCCAGAAACGAACTCTAAAGAGGACTTATACTTTTCTAAAAGTTTGCACTCTAAGATTCACTCCTAAAGCTCACCATTTCAGCTTACTTTTCATGTCTTCAACTGCTGAAATTTTTTATGTTTTTGTGTGTTTAAGCAATTCTAAAAAATGTCTATGGAAGTGTGATCCAGTCCCTTATAATGAAGAAAGGGCAGCCCTTAAATAGGCAAAGAAAAGCCAACTTTTTGGACAGATTTTGGTTCAACAAAAATCTGTCCAAAAGAGGCTAAATTTGTGTGCTAAAGGCTGTCCAAAAGGTGAAAGGACAGCCTGAAATCTGCTATGGCAGGAGCCAAAGGGTCACTTCAGCCACCCTACTAAAAGCAAGCTACTAGTACCCTACAAAATATCTAAATTTCAGATTTTAACAACACCAATATCAACCTATTGATTCAAATTAAACCAAGTATTAAAACATGTAGTTAAATTTCAACACATGTATTATGAACCAACATGAGCAAACAAAAAATTAACTATTAAAGCCAAACGGAACGCACGATATCGCTGAAGCGATTTAACAAAGACAAACATAATCAGAAATGGATTAGAATAAAGAAACAAGACAGAAACTAACTCTAAACTAAAAACTCAAAACAAAAAGAAAAATTAGAAAATTAATAACGGGGCGGGGATTGCGATTTTACCATATACTCGAGCATCCGGGAGACGACGACAGGCAGTGGTACGACTTTCGAGCAAGCTTCTATTGTTGATATTCTTGAGACCAAAAAATTCCGGTGAATCCGAGTCCGGTTTCAATAATATCAACGACACAACCTTGCTCGAGGCCGGTTAGAGAAAAGAAACGGGCGGCAGTGGCAGCAGTGGCGGCGGCGCTAGGGCAGTGGTGGTGGCGCTAGGGCGGCGTGGTTTTTTTTTTTGATTTTTGAGTCGGAGATATGGAAAGAGGGGAAGAAGAGGAGGCCGGTGGTGTAAAATTTTTGGAGTTTTGGGGTGATGGGAGGCGACTAGGGTTCGGTTAGGCTTAGATCTACGGAGATTGGTGGAGATTTGGAGGATATGAGTGGTATAGGTAGAAAGAGGAGGAAGAGGGAAAGAGATGGTAAAATTTCGGCCGGCGGCGACGGGCGGCGTGGCAGAGAGGGGGGAGAGAGTGATAAGAGAGAAAAAGAGAAAAGAATTATGGGTGGAAATGGGGAAATTTTTCAGATTTTGGAGGCTTTAAATACCTAGGCCAAGAGTCAATGAGATCCATTGGATCAAGATGGAATGGAGGGGTAAGATTTGATCTTGTTTCATTTAGTGAAACGACGTAGTTTTATTATGAAACTACGTCGTTTTGATCCGGGTCTTGGCAAGCCATCAATTGGTCTGGGTTGGTGCAATTGGGCCAATGATTTGGTCCGATTTTTTAGCCCATTTCACTTTAAAATAACACTAGCCCAAAGTTTTGTTCCTCTCTTAATTAAATCATAATAAAACTCTCAAAACCTACATACACACAAATAAGAACACACACACACACACACACACACACACACACATATATATATATATATATATATATATATATAGAAATAAAAGAACANCCTACATACACACAAATAAGAACACACACACACACACACGCGCGCGCACACACACACACACACACACACACACACACACAGAGCTGCCCCTCTTTGCTCGAGAATAAAAAGACATGGCAAAAATTAAGCATTTACAGCTGCCCCTCTTTGCTCGAGAACATGAAGGGTTTTCGTGCAAAGACAAGTGAATGCCATAGCTAATTTTTTTCTCATATATCACTCCAAGGGAAGCAAATTTTGAAAAATAGTGACCGAACCTTGCTTCTGAGGTTACCTACATATCCTTGGCTGTAAAGGAATCAGGTCAGTGTAGTTCTGGAAAAATTTGGTAGCTGGGACTACCAGACACTGGAGTTAAGACTGCTGCTGCTGCTGCTGTTGCTGTTACTCTTACCGTTACTGCTTCTTACATCAAAAGAAAAAGAGAAGAGCACTACATATGTCTGCAAACTAAGAGTACAAAATTCCTATCTACGTGTCTTCTGGAGTCAAATCTTGATTCTTGACTTGCTCTCTTGTGTTGACCTTAGACTGGATCTTGATTCTCTTTAAAGAAGAGATTATGACTCAATCTCGGTTGCTTGCTTTTTGGATTAGAATTTTGAGAAAATAAAACTTGAGAAGTTGCGTTGCCGACACATTATCAAAGCTAACTCCGACTATCGTGTGATCGAAGGACTTCTTTCTTCTGATGAGAAACTGAAACTGCAAGCTTTAATCGTCACTTGGGCTGTGCGGCAGAGCCTGCGAAGCCATCAAAGACGAACAAAACGAACAAAAATTTTCTGCCCCAGTCTGGCACTAGGAAAATTTTGTGAGTTATTAGAGAAAGCTACAAACTATTTAATTTATTGAAATAAGGAAAAGAATGTAATATAAACTAGCTATGTGAGGATACGCAACCACAGGGTAGCACCCTGTGTTACCAATGGCAGTGGAATTATAGCACAGTATCCTATATTACTGAAAGGAAACGTAGCCAGGGGTAGGAGCCTTGTACCACTAGGAAGGAATGTAATTATGGGTTGGTATCCTTGTATTACTGATAAAGTGTTGAATCCCCTAGGCGAAACGGTTCTACCTGAGTTAAGCTACATAAAACACCCTGAGCGAAGAGTACTTCTACTCGGAACTATGAGCTGGATCCCCCTAGTAGAAAGGATTCTACCTGAGTTAAGCTGTGTAAAACACCCTGAGTGAAGAGTACTTCTACTCGGAACTATGAGCTGGATTCCCCTAGGCGAAATGATTCTACCTGGGTTAAGCTGTGTAAAACACCCTGAGTGAAGAGTACTTCTACTCGGAACTATGAGCTCGATCCCCCTAGGCTAAAGAATTCTACCTGAGTTAAGCTGTGTAAAACACCCTGAGCGAAGAGTACTTCTACTCGGAACTATGAGCTGGATCCCCCTAGGCGAAAGGATTCTACCTGAGTTAAGCTGTGTAAAACACCCTGAGCGAAGAG